AAGAAATTTGAAAGCAGTAACCACGACTTATAAAAAACTATCCATCCATTTATCCACCTATCCTCCTTTCCATTCTCCTGTTTGTCCACCCACCTATCCTTCCATCCATTTTATACCTACCTGTCTATCCATGGGCCCTTCCTTCTGTCTCTCCAGCTACTTCTCCCTTCCTTTCTGTAACCAGCCACCCATCACTTATTCATCCAGCTACCTATTCTGCCTCCTGCCTCTTTTCTTTCTTTATCCTTCCATTCCATTTCTATCCACTTATCTAGGCAACATTTACTAAGTAGCCAGGAAGTACAAAGCATTTCTTTGAAGCAGTTATAACAATATTTTACATGTAGCATTGTTTAATAAACATTTAGAAAATCACCTAGTAAATAATTATAGCTCAAGAGAACATTTTCAGGCCTGTATCACATTTCTCAAACAAACTCTTCATCATTAAATCTTCATACATTTATTCAGGAGATATACTGATGAGGAAGAACAGAGTAACACACTATTTATGAAAGAGAAATATTTAACCTTCTAACATGGAGTAATTTTATTTCAATAATTAGCAGGATATGTGCTCTCTCTTATAAATATAGCCATACCTCCTATCTCGATGAAGTTCGCTCTGAATAGAAGTCCGAGAAGCTACAGAAGGAAAAATAAACATACTGGTATAGTACAAAATTAGTACATTTGGTAAAGGTTTAAATTTTTAAAGAGTATAATTGGAAAAAATTAGCTTATAATTGACATCACATAGAATGCATGAACTTTAATATTCCTAAGTAGAAAAATAAATCAAAATGATCTTTTTATTGGCACAAAGTTAATTACAGTCAGATATTTGAATTGCATAAGAAAATAGAGATTTCAAAAACTCCCCGAAGCACATTATGTGGGTCTGAAAATAATTTGAAGAATGAACAGAGAAAAGAAGACAGTTTTTAAATATAATAGTTTAAATTTTCTCCAAATTTTGTTTTATAAAGCAAATCAAATCAAATGATCTGAAAAATATGTCACACACAGGGTTCATTTTTATGTAATAGAGAATATGATCTCTATTTTAAAGGAACACAATTCTAAAGGTCCTTTTGGAAAAAAAATCTCCCAATACTAGAGATTTGTGCACAAAGGGAATTTATTTCAAATATAATCTCTTTTAACCAGATGCTTTAATATCTCTTCAATGCATTTTTTCAATTCTTCTGATTCAAAAGATTAAAAGCACAGATCTTTTCTTTCTGTCTCTTACTAACTTCTGCTTCTCTCTGAACAAGGAAGCTGCCAAAGCTGGCAGAGACACAGGTAGAGGTGGGAGGTGGGAATAAAATTTAAGCTGGGATTGGAGCTGTGACAGGTGAACCTGTGCTGGGTTGGCAAGGTAAACCTCTAACATCTGAAACCAAATCCCCTGGATCTCAACTTGAAAGATGTCCTTATATTCACATCATCAACTGGTTTGACTGCTACATTTTTATCAAGAGCTAACTCAAGTTGAAGTTCATTTTGTCTACTGGCATAAAAGAGGACACAGAGCTCTGAACAGTATGTCTGGACAGGTAAGAATGGTTTCATTAAGTCAGAGGCTCACCCAAGTGTGCTACAATCACGTCACCACCGTCACTAAAGCGATCAGCAAATACAGCACTTTGAAAAGCCTTCATGTTATTGTCACAAACATACCTCTTCCACGGGGCATTTTTGCTGTGCACTATTCATGAGTGCTAAGGGAAAAAAAGAAGGGGTTATAGAAGAGAAAAGGGAAGGGGAAAAGAATGAATCCAGTTGCCTAAGCTTTCAAAGAATTCAGGAGCAAGGCTGTCTTGTGATGACAGTTTCTCCCTACCCTGCACGCTTCGATGAAAAAGAAAAGTTGATTAACCATAGTTTCAGAGAGTAAAGAAATACTTGCTGTGAAGATTTGCCTGTACAGACCATGACATCCACACACAACAGTCCAAAGAATCTGCCTGCAATTTTTAACAACAGTGCAAAGAAGTCTAAAAACCATTTGCAGGGTGGCGCCTGTGGCTCAAAGGAGTAGGGTGCTGGCTCCATATGCCAGAGGTAATGGGTTCAAATGCAGCCCCGGCCAAAAACCGCAAAAAAGATTAAAAAATAAATAAATAAAAATAAAAGCTATTTGCAAAATCAATTCGTTACTTCAATAGGGATCAATTTTAAAGCATGAATGATACCTGAGGAGTCTATTTATGTTGTTTTAAATCAGCAGCTTTTATCCTGATTCCGCCCTTCACACCAGAGATTGTTAGTGACAGGTCCCCACTGGCGGCAGAGTGGCATCGCGGCTCTGAATGCAGCAGACGAGGAGAGAGGTCTCCTAGTCTTACAGATTTCCTTCTCCACATCCTTTGGGAATCACTGCTTTCCCCTCTCCTTCTCTGACTTTTTTTCACATTTACTCATGTTCTATGAAATCCTTCTTTTCTCTCTTGTCCTTTTAGAACGAGTGACACTTGTCAGTGCTAAACAATTTAACAGCTAGAAACACTTTAGATTTCATGTTGGATTTTCATGTCGTGTTTCACACTCTTCCTGCTAATTTCTCAACTATCCACTCATCCGTCTCCTTCTGACTTTCTCAGATTAAACAGATCTGCTGGAGTTGTTGCCAGAAGAATCAAATTTGCCACTAATGCCCATTCAGACCTCTTTACCACAAGTTGCTAGTCTCTTGTGCATCTGGGGTTAATACCACAGAAAAAGAGTAGCATTCTCAGTTAAAGTTATCCTGTCATTGTAAAGAATTGTTTTTAAACTTTTCTAATTCAAGTGGTTAAATTCTAAGTATAAAACATATTCATATTAAGCTATTATAGAAGAGCTGAGGCGTAGATTTACAATATTACCAATAATAAAGGATCCTCCCAAGTTCTAGACAGAGAAGACCAAGAATACAGAGAGGTTAAGTGAATTATCCCAAGTTCAACACCCTATTAGAGACAAGGCTGAGAGAAGTTTGTTTCTTAAAACAGTTCAACTTATTGTGGAGCCAGGAGAGTGGGAAGCTAGTTCCGATTCTAAATAATTCAAAATTATCAATTAATGATGATTAGAAGAAAATAAGCACATAGAATAATTATTATACCATAAATATCCTTGCTATAGAACTATCTGATCAATGAAAAATCACAATGATAAAAAATTCACTGACTACATTTGTGTGGGGCAGAGTATGAGCTACATGCATTTGACATAACAAGAACTTCAGTTCTCATGATGAAACATGATACAGACACATGAACCATCTGAAAGCTCAATGGCCTTGAAGTCAAGAAGCCTATGTTGACCACCCAGCTCTATTTTGTGAAGCCATTTAAACTCTCTGAGACTCACGTTTTCCTACCATCTGTAAAATGAGGTTAGCAGCTAACATGCAGAGTGTTATTTGTAATACTTGCTGACTTATGGTAGGTCATCAATATGAACTAAATCTAAATTTCAGAAAATGATCTTCTCTTAAAAAGTTAATAAAAGAAAGAATATAAAATTCCAGATATATTCAATTAGAACACACACCAAAAAACTTTTACCAGGCTGGGTGTAGTGGCTCATGTCTGTAATCCTACCACTTTGAGAGGCCAAGGTAGAACGACTGTTTGAGGCCAGGAGTTCAAGACCAGCCTGGCCACCAAAGTGAGACCCCCATCTCTACAAAAAACTTTTTTTTGAGACAGACCCTCAAGCTGTTGCCCTATGTAGAGTGCTGTGGCATCTCAGCTCACGGCAAACTCCAACTCCTGGACGCAAGCAACTCTCCTGCCTCAGCCTCCCAAGTAGCTGGGATTACAGGCACCCACCACAACACCCAGCTATTTTTTGGTTCTAGTTATCATTGTTGTTTGGCAGGCGGGGGCTGGATTCAAACCCACCAGTTCAGGTGTATGTGGCTGGTGCCTTAGCTGCTTGAGTTACAGGCGCTGAGCCTCTATAAAAAAACTTTTAAAAACTTGGCTGGGCTGAAGTCATGCACCTCTAGTCAAAGTTACTTGGGTGGCTGAGGCAGGAGGATCACTTGAGCCCAGGAGTTCAAGGCTGCTGTTAGCTATGATAGCACTGTAATTCAGCCTGGGTGACGGAACAGACTGAGATCTTCTTGTTTGTTTGTTTTATTATTGTTGAGGATTCATTTAGTGTACAGAGAACCAGATTAACACTGATTGCATCTGTTAGGTAAAGTCCCTCTTATAATTGTGTCCTGCTTCCAAGAGCTATGTCACATATTGTGACCTCTATCCCCTTCCCCCATCATGTACTAGGCCATCAACTGTCCTCATATCAGCCAGGGTTTTTTCTGGTTCCAGAAACAAAGAATTATTTTTTCCAAATCTTGAAAGTATAATGTTGGTATTTTAATGGGGTTTGCATTGAATCTGTAGATTGCTTTGGGAAGTATAAACATTTTTACAATGTTGAATCTTTTTTTTTTTTTTTTTTGAGACAGAGCCTCAAGCTATCCCCCTGGGTAGAGTGCTGTGGCATCACAGCTCACAGAAACCTCCAACTCCTGGGCTCAGTTTCCTGCCTCAGCCTCCCAAGTAGCTGGGACCACAGGTGCCTGCCACAGTGCCCGGCTATTTTTTGGTTGCAGCCGTCATTGTTGTTTTGGTGGCCCGGGCTGGATTCAAACCCTCCACCTTAGGTGTATATGGCTGGCACCTTAGCCACTTGAGCCACAGATGCCGAGCCTACAATGTTGATTCTTTCCAGCCATGAGCATGGTATATTCTTCCATTTGTTAATATCTTCTGTTACTTCTTTTCTTAAGGTTTTTTGTAATTTTCCTACAGAGTTCCTTTACCTCTTTTGTTGGGTATATTCCTATGTATTTCATTTTCTTTGAAGCTACTGTGAAAGGAATTATGTCCTTGATTAGTTTCTCATCTTGGCTGTTACTGGCATATTCAAAGGCTTCTGATTTGTGGACACTGATTTTATATCCTGAGACATTACTGTATTTTTTGATTACTTCCAAGGGTCTTGGGATTGAGTCTTTGCAGTTCTTTAAGTATAAGATCCTATCATCAGCAAAGAGCAAGAGTTTGAACTCCTCTGCCTCCATTTGTATACCCTTTATTTCCTTCTCTTGCCTGACTGTACTGGCTAGAACTTCCAGCACTATGTTGAATAGTAGTGGTGATAGAAGAACAGTGAGATCTTGTCTTAAAACAAGCAAACAAAACAACAAAAAATAAAACAAACAACAAACTTCACCAAAAAAGGACTCCAAGGTTTGATTAGAACCAGAACCATTAAGAAAGAATTTTATGTATAACCAGTTAAGGATTATCACTTTAAAAATGTGGCCAAGTCAGGCAGCACCTATAGCTTAGTAGGTAGGGCGCCGGCCCCATATACTGACGGTGGCAGGTTCAGACCCAGCCCCAGCCAAACTGCAATAAAAAAATAGCCAGGTGTTGTGGCGGGCACCTGTGGTTCCAGCTACTTGGGAGGCTGAGGCAAGAGAATTGCCTAAGCCCAAGAGCTGGAGGTTGCTATGAGCTATGATGAGACTCTGTCTCTAAAAAAAAAAAATGTGGTCAAGTCTCCTTGCCAGGGTTAGATGATTGAGTCTGGGTCAGTAGAGCATACATTTTAATACTTCAGTTAGGATAAAAATT